TCTAAAACCTAGGAAGGATGGAAGAAAAAAGAAAGTTACAAACCTATTTCTCTCTTCGAAACAATAGAAAAAATCCTGGAAAAAATCATCTACAAAAGACTGATGAAACATGCAGAAAGAAGAAAAATCATCCAAGAAGAACAATTCGGATTAAGAAGAGGAAGGAATTGCGAACTACAGCTAGCAAGAATTATCAGCGATACGAAGATAAGATTCAACAGAAAACAAAGGACAGAATTAGCCATACTGGACATAGAAAAAGCATACGACGTGGTTTGGAAAAAGGCACTAATCTTCAAGATTAACAAATTTATTTATCTAATATTTGTATATATCTATGTATTTATCTAATAGAACTTTTCAAGTTTCAGCTGACCAAAAGATGTCAACGATACAAGAAATCCAGGAAGAGATGCCTCAGGGCAGTATTCTCTCACCCATATTATACAATATTTTTGTTTCAGATCTACCAACTGATCCAAAAACATCAACAGAACTATACGCAGCAAATGATACAGCAGTGTATGCAACCGGAAAAGATGACAGAAGAATCATCAGGAATATGGAAAGCCACCTTGGAAAAATCACTGAGTTCACGGACAAATAGAAGATAAAAATTAAAGCAAAGACACAATTCATCATTTTCACTCAGGAACAAAACCTACCAGTGCACGAAATCACAGTAGGAGGAATCAGGATCAAAGCAGGAGATGCAGTCAAATACTTAGGAGTTCACCTCGACAGAAAACTTAACTGCTAAAATACTAATATTCCTCTATATTTTCAGGACCAATCCTCTAACAAAGACCAAGAAGATCCAGTTGTACCAGGTCTGCGTTAGATCGGTTATACTATATGCAGTCCCAGTTTGGAGTTCAATAGCAGAGACTAACTGGAGGAGACTTCAAGCCACAGAGACATCGTGTTACCGAATCATAGACGGATCAACATGGGAAGAAAGAATATCCAATGCAACCATCAAAGAAATGCTCCAGTACACACCACTGAGGGAGGCGGCTGAGAAAAGGACACGATACTTCTTCCACCAGGCCACAAGAAGACTCCGCAAGACCAAGGATATCCTCGAGAAAAACAGGATCCAGAGGATGTATAGACACACCCACAAGCTGATCGACCACCTGATCAGGGTGTAGCCGGATGGTTGCCGAAGAACAGCCAACCAGGGAAGTAGGTACGATGCCACAAAAAGTACCTACAGAAGAAGATGCCAGGATGCCACCAGCAGAAGTCCAGGAATCCGAGAGGAAAAATTATCAATATCAGGCGGTGCAAGAGCGGGACATCGAGAAGAAAACCATGAAATATTAAATAATTTGAAATATAATTTAATAATGGTAATAAACATTTTTATTTTTATTTTTTAATTTATAATTCTCATTAATAAAGTATTTGATTTTTATTTTGTTTTATTACATTTTTGTTTGAGCTAATAATTCTTTATTAAAATATATAAATATTTAAATATGTTTTCTTGTAAACACACACCAGGGTGTGCAAAAGAAATTAGTGCGTCACGAATGATAATTACAAAAATAACCGGGCCATGGAAAGATAACCTTGGAAAATGCTGCTATAGAACAAAATAACATGAAACTGCACCATTCCAAATCATTTAAGTACATTTATAAATATTCAGTACTTTGGAAATATATTTTGGGACCTATAACTCGCAACAGTATTGAAAAGCTTAAACCATAACTGCCTTTAACAACAACAACTCTTTTTTGCAACTGAACAGTACACAATGTATTTACACAAATAATTTATTTTGTAATGTACTTTTTCAATTTCTTATGATCTAAATGAGCTTATGGATCTAATAATTTTTTTTTATCTGTTTTAGTTAAGATTATTTTTACGATAAGCTTATCAATAATTGTTTTTGTCTCACAGACGATTTAAAATATTTTTATGACAAATATAAACACTCCAAGTTGCCAATATCATCTTATATGAAGGCTACCACTGCAATAGTCAGTGTGGCTTTTATACACTCGTAAGTTCTAACTGGCCTATTCATATCAGACATATCAGTACATAAAAACGGTCCAATAAAAGTGAATTCGGAAAATGGGCTTTTAGTGCCAAATGGAACGTTTTATTGTTACGATTATGTTATGTTTAACTACTGTCAGGTTTATTCAATCTTGCATTTGCAGGACCATTAGCAAAGCTGTAAATGGAACGATTTTAAAATATATTGAATCTATTTACTTGGAATATTCGGAATATTTTTAAATTTTTGAAAAATGATTTTTTACGATGGGTTAGGAATAGGTAAAATGTAGCACAAACAACTCCAATAAACAAAGTTATTGTTAATTATAGATAGTAGCTGCTTGCTATATTTGATGGTAAACATTTATTTCTAAGAATAAGTAAAATTGAAAAAAAATAGATAGATATTATAAAACTTTAATTGTCATTTCTTTATTTTACAGGTAGGAATTTTGTTTTAGAATAAAAATGAGCTCACTGATAACTCTTCAATAAAGCAAGCATCGGACTGGCACCGACACTATTCAACCTGTCTCTCAAATACATGATAAGACCATTGAATATAGGAAAAGATAATCTCCTTTATCTCTGTTATTTACAAAATCTTCTTCAATATTATTTAATTTTTCTTCCAGGTACAATATTTTCTTTGTTCTGCATTTTCTTTGCCTCCCTTCTTTTTTTATCATAGTTTACATTGTTTAAATTTAAACTATCTATTGTTTAAATTATTCTTCCCCATCCTATTGATTCTAACTATGCCCCTCCTCAATAGCTCTCTTACGATCATTATCATACCAATCGTTCTGTCTTCTTTGAAAGGGGTTTTCATAATGCTAACTCGACTGATATTTGAATCGTTTCTATAAGCCCTTCCCACCCACTGTCTATGCCTTGTGCTACTTCCTGTCCTCCTAGTTTCCCATCTACTTGTTCTTAGAATTTTCTTGTAATTTCTTTGTTCTGCAATGGTATACCAGGAAGTGGTCTGAATTTGCATCCGCTCCTCTATATTACTCATCAATTACTCCTCCTCAATTACTATATGCTCCATCTAATTAATTGTTTGACCATTTGGTGATATCCAAGTACCTTTATGAATCTCCTTATGGTCAAAAACTGTTCACAATACGCATATTATTTTTAAAAGCAAATAAAATGCGATAAAATCCTCTGCAATAGTTAAAATCTCCTAGATCTTTGGTGAATATACTATTTAACAATATAAATTAAAAAATAATATAATGGCAAAAATAATATTTTTACTTGTTTTTGAGTCTTGAAGATCGTTTTTTGCGTTTTTTTTCACTTTTAAATTGTTTTTGGAAACGATCAGGTTTACAAGAACCCAATGTTAAGAATGGCCCAAAAAATTCAAAAAAGTTTGTCCAGGACGAAAAAATTCATTGTTACAATTTGTTAAAAAAATGTTTAAAACAATTTGAACAACACCCAAAGCATTAACCTAAATATTGATTTATACACTTTGATATTTGAGCGATATTTGAGATTATACCTTCTGTTTCAATGTAAGAAGTAAGATAATAAAAAGATATAATGTGCAAACAATAACTTTATTATTGAATTTACAAAAACTGCTACTTCGTTATTTGATAGACGTATTATAAAAACAATATGCAATACGAACAGAGTTTCCTAAATATTTATGATTGGAACTAACGCAAGAAAGATGTTATGAACAGAGATCTCATCAATTACAAAATGAATTTCTTTATTTTTCAGTAATTGATATTACCATCCCTACTCCTTAAGATACTTTCTAATCAATTTCGCATGGATCGGATGACTTTTCTAATAAATTTTTGTGGTATTGCTTTCCATTCATCATTAAGCGCAGCTCTCAATTCCATTAGGCTCCTTGCTGTATGATTTTTGTCCTGGACCCTTCGTTTAAGCTCATCCCAAACATGCTCTATTGGATTTATGTCTGGACTCAACGCAGGCCAATTTATTGTAGGTATACCGATGTTAATCAGATGGTGGTGTCTCGTGTAGCGTATACGGTGATTGTATGGTTGTGAGACATGGACGTTAAAAACCACAATGCTAAACAAGTTAGAAGCATTCGAAATGTGGTGCTATAGAAGAATCCTAAAGATATCGTGGGTTTCGCACACTTCCAATGAAGATGTTCTTCAAATGATCAACTCAGAACGTCTGCTCATAAACATCATAAAGAGGAGAAAAACAGAATACTTCGGCCATATAAATAGAGGACCTAAATACCATTTACTTCGCCTTATAATACAAGGAAAAGTGGAAGGAAAGAGATGGATTGGTCGAAAGAAACTTTCATGACTGCGTCATATTAGATAATGGTGTGGTTTCACAGTAGAAGAATTATTTCGCGCAGCAGCCGACAGAGAAAGGTTTCAGGAAATTGTAAACATGATGACGGCCAACGGCTGAATACGGACACGGCACCCAAAGAAGAAGAAGGTGACTCGTGTGGTATGGCATCGTGCATTATCGTGCATCAAAATAAATAAATCCCGCGTATGGAACCACATGTTCCTCCAAAATGTCTCTGATGTAACCTCCTCCACGTCCTCGGGTGTTGTCGGAGTTTTCCCAACTCACCAACTTGGTTTTCCCATCCATGGAAATGCCTGTCCAAAACATAGAAGAACCGCGTCCATATGACACAATTTCTCGATGTTCGACAGATGTTTGCGATCAAGTTCTAACTGCCTTTAATTCTGAGATGCATTTAGCTTGGAACCCGTAGCTACCTTCTGTCTTTTTCTGACTGTCCAAATGCTGGTAACCACACTTCGGACCTATTTAAGCTCTTTTTAGGATAAGCACCAGCTGAATGTCGATTTCTCAGGGATTTTGATACAAGGAATCAATCAACTCTCAATAATGCTACTGCTTGAGCTGCTTTAACGGATAAGGTATCCATTTGAAATGCAGTTGCGAACTTAAGTGACTGATGTATTATTGGTTTGCTATGGAAACTGCAAGAATGTAGAAGGCAAGGGGAACCCACTACATTAAAGATTCTACACAGATATCCCTAGTACAATTGTCATGGCTGTACAAAAAAGTAACTCTGTTACTGATCATGGATATTGGAGGCCAAGATCCGGCAGGGGAGGCAAATCACACATAGACCACAGGGCCTCTCAGGTCGATATCAAACGAAATCCCTGTGAAATATCCATTAAAAATACATCGTCCAAAAAGAAGATTAAAATCAACGGAAAGTGTATGAAGATAGGTACGTGGAATGTTAAGTCAATATACCAAGCAGGTAAAGTCCATAATGTCATTCAGGAAATGGAAAGACTTGACATAAAAATATTAGGACTAAGTGAAAACAGATGGCCCAATTCAGGTGACATATTAGTACGCCAAACAAAGATATACTACTCTGGTAATGACAACGACGCAAATCACTGGAACGGAGTAGCGATATTAGTTGACAAAACTACCCAGAAATTTTGTTACTGATCGGTAGAGGAAGTCAAGGTGTTTTGATGGGAAACTTTGGACTGGGCACCCGTAATGAGAGAAGAGACAGATTGGCTCAATTCTCTCAAGAGACCGATTTTATTGTCGCGAATACTTATTATGATCTGCCACCCAGGAGACTCTATACATAGAAATCTCCAGCAGATAACCAACATAACTTCATTAGAAACTAAATTGACTACCTTCTCATCTGCAAACGATACCGAAATTCCATAAAATCAGTAAAATCATACCCCGGAGCTGATGTGAGATCAGATCTCAACCCAGTTGTAGGAAGGTTTAGAATTAATCTAAAAAAGCTTGTGGCTAAAACTAAAGTAGAGAGGATACAAGTATCCCGTTTGAAAGATCCATCAACAAAAGAGCAAGTCACACTAAAAATTAAAGAAGAGCTCACCAAAATAGAAATTATTCCTACTGAAGATGCGAACAGGAAATGGCATATATTAAAAGATGCTCTTATACGCACATGTGAGACAACACTAACACCTAAGCTGATTAATAACAAAAATGAATGGATGATCGATGAGATTCTGGATCTCATGGAAGCAAGAAGATCCTATAAAACCCAAGACAAAAACATGTATAATATTATACACACAGAAATAAGGAGAAAGATCAGATATGCAAAGGAAAAATGGTATAGTGACAGATGCGAAGGGATTGAACAATTGGTGGAGAAACATGATAACTTAAACCTTCATAAAAAAATTAGGGAAATAACATGCATTAATATTAAGAAAAAATCAAACATACTGCTGGATAAAAACGGCAAAATAATTATAGACGTCGGTGAAAGGCTTAAAAGATGGCAGGAATATATTCAAGAGTCATTTAAAGATGAACGGACTGAGATAGTACTAAAGCAGGAAAAGTTCGACAACGGCCCAGACATAACAGAAGATGAGGTATTAGAGGCGATAAAGCGAACAAAGAATAACAAGGCAACAGGTCCTGACGAAATACCTGTAGACATAATACGGTTAATAGAAGAACAGCAAATTGGAATATTGGTTGACTTATTCAATACAATATACAGTACAGGAATCATTCCCAGAGATTTGCTGATATCAACATTCGTAACACTACCAAAAAAAAAAACCAAATGCAAAAGAATGCCAAGACCACCGGATAAAAGTCATACGCTCAAAATATTTTTAAAAATTATACACCGGAGAATACACAACAAACTTGAGCAGGACATAAGTGACACACAATTTGGATTTAGAAATGCACTAGCAACGAGGGAAGCCCTGTTCGCTGTGAATGTACTTGTGCAAAGGTGCATGGATGTTATTCAGCCAGTATATATGTGTTTCTTGGATTACAAAAAAGCCTTTGATAAAGTCAGACATAACCGTCTTATCGAATTACTTGAAAAGAAAATCTTAGATATGAGAGACATCAGGATCAGTAGCGCTATCTATTATAATCAGATCGATGTGGTAAAAGAAACAACGCCTTTTCAAATGAAATACGGATTGAGAGGGACGTCAGGCAGGGCTGTGTCCTGTCTCCTACTTTGTTTAGTTTGTATTCAGAGGAAATAATCCAGGAAGCACTAGAACAACTAACTATGGGAATAAAAGTAAATGGCCGACCAATCGATAATATACGATTTGCCGACGACACTGTTTTATTAGTGGAATGTCTTGAGGATTTACAATAAATGGTTGACAGAGTGGTATAAGTCAGTGAAGAAAACGGACTGTCCCTAAACACAAAAAGACACAATTTATGGTAATTACAAAAGCCTAACAGCGCCAAGAAAACGTAACAATACATGGAGAACAAATTAAAACAGTTGAAAAATATAAATATCTCGGTACAATAATTGAAGACCTGCCTGGAAAAACGTTGTAAGCGACAAATTTTAATAAAGTGATGTTTTGGTGGAAAAACGTTCTTTATGCGTTAAGCGAACTAGTGACACCATCTATTAGCATTAATTTCAATTCAATACCCTCCTTACAGAACTTCAAAACACGACGCGAGAGGAAAAACGTTACTTGTGCATTAAACATGGCGGAGTGTGGAGAGTTATCGTCTACATCGCGTGTCTTAAATCATCTAAATAAAGGTAAAAAACGAAAAATAAATTTTGAAAACTGGCTGAAAGAAAAGCATAAGCGCCTAAAAAACAGTGGACAATCTTACAAAAATTATAAAAATGTTCCTGTTCCAGAAAAATTGCCTCCTAATGTGGTAAGTGGAAAAACGTTACATGTGTTAACAATCTGTACATTCATATTTTTGTTTTAGGCTAGATCTTGTGCATGTTCGTTCAACGGATGTAAGTTAATTACCCTTGAAATGAGACAGAACTTATTTAATGATTTCTATAAAAAACATACAATGAACAGTCACAACATTTGGGGTTATGTATGGAAGTAGAGGAGCCAAAGAGAAGAAGGGTAGATGAAGCCACATCAAAACGTCAGTGTACTGTAAAATATTTTTTGTTGATTACTGGAAAAAGACAACAGGTATGCCAAAAAATGTTTTGTGAAACTTATTCTATAACAAAACGCAGAGTTCAAATTTTAATTGAAAAAATCAAGTCAAATAAAACATTATTGCTTGACTTTCGTGGAAAACATGTAAATCGTCCAACAAAAACCAAAGAGTCTGTAAAAGACCTAATTAGACAACATATTTCGTCTTTTCCATCTCAAGAAAGCCACTATTCTCGAAACTCCAACAAAAAACAATGCCTTAATCCTGACCTAAACACTAACAAAATGTTTGAGCTGTTTAAAATATTGCATCTAGAAATTGAAGTAAAATTCCATACTTATAGAGAAATATTCAAAGAAGATTTTAATTTACGTTTTGGAGTTCCTCGCTCCGATACTTGCAAAGTGTGTGATAAAATTTTTATAAAACTGAGTGCTGCAGAGAATGAAGAAGAACGAAAGAAGCTTCAAACTGAATCCGAGCTACATCACCGAAAAGTAGAAAGTGCATATTCATCTTTGAAAGCTGATGAAGAAGCAGCTAAGGTAAATTCAAATGTGATAGTTTTATGTGTGGATTTGCAACAAGTCATTTTTATACCTAACTTATCACATTCCGATGTTTATTACCAGCGTCAGTACGCAAATTACAATTTTGCTATCCACAATATGGGAACCTCTGAAGCTACTATGTGTTGTTGGCATGAAACTGTAGCCAAGAGGGGCAGTGCTGAAATTTCTTCTTGTATTTTAAGGTATATTCTTGAGAATTTTAAGAGACTAGAGGTTGGAGCAGAACGAAAACTTATACTATGGTCTGACCGATGTGTCGGCCAAAATAATAATTGAGAGATGATATCATTGTGTCACTATCTAATGTCAGCAAAGTTCTTTACTGAAGTAAATCAAAAATTTTTGGTATCCGGGCACAGCTTTTTACCTTGTGATAGGGATTTTGCACTCATCGAAAAGATGAAAAAAAGTAGTCAGCTATATTCCACTCAAGATGTACTTGAGCTAATCAAATCAGCAAGATCAAGAAAATCTTTTCAAGTAGTTGAAATGAAACAGGAGGACTTTGTTGACTTGACCTCAGTTGAGAGTTAAATTAAAAAAGATAGTATTAAAATAACAGAAGCACGTTGGATACAGGTCACAGCAAACGAACTGACTGTTCTCCGGATAAGACAAACGCACAATATCCTGCAACCATGGCGGACATCACCTTTACTAAAGATACCAAGAGGACGAGCTGCAGTCCGAAATACAGTTTACAATCTAATTGAACCAGAAAAATTGCCTCCACTGTACAGAGAACCTTTAACTACATCTGATAAGAAAAAAGCAGACTTGCTGAAAAAGACTGAATGTTTATATAGATCATTTTATTGTGAATTACCTGCACATGCAACTTAATATGATTTTGTTTATCTAGTATGTAAGTTTTATTGATAATAAATTTTTTTTACTTTTCAGTTTTTTGTATTTTCATTTACTGTAATTTTGGGACATTTTAATAATGCTCGTATTTTTTTATGTTAAAAATGTTCCAAGGAATATCGTTTATAAGCACAATCAACGGAAAAAACGTTGCATGTGCGTTAACACTAGGTACACATGCAACGTTTTTCTTCTACAAAAAATTTCTTTTTGGTTTTTTGCGCTCATTAGTCTTTTGTTCTGTGTTATTTATATTCAAAGTTCTTACCTTACTAGTAATATACATAAGCAACACTTAAATTCACAAAATTTGGTAAATAATATTATCAAAATCGTTTTTTGTGATTATCTAAAAAGTTTCTTCATTTTGTCGTTTGCAACGTTTTTCCGGGCAGGTCTCCAATTAATGAAAATAATGAGTATACAGCGGAGATTAAGGAAAGAATAGGAAAGGCAAGAAATTCTTTCAACAAACTGAAAAAAGTACTCTGCAGCAGGAACATTTCAATTTCTTTAAAGATAAGACTTCTGAGATGCTACGTGTTCTCCGTATTATTTTATGGCTTTGAGGCTTGGACTTTAAAGAAAGATGTTTCGGACAGATTGGAAGCCCTCGAGTGATGGGTCTACAGAAGGATATTAAGAATAAATTGGGTAGATAGAGTCACGAATGTCGAGGTGTTGAGAAGAATGGGAAAAGATAAAGAGGTCTTAAATACAGCTAAAGTCAGAAAACGGCAATATCTGGGACATGTTATGAGGGGCGAGGGTTAAAACTTGTTGCAATTAATAATGCAAGGAAGAATACAGAGTAGAAGGAGTCGCGGAAGGAGACGCATCTCCTGGTTGAATAATTTGAGAGCTTGCTTTAACTGTACTTCTGCTGACCTCTTTAGAGCAGAGGCGTCGAAAGTGCAAATTGCAATAATGGTTGCCAACCTTCTTAGAGGAGATGGCACGTGAAGAAGAAGATGGAAATTGATGCGTAAAATTTCAATGAGTCAAATTCTGATCCACTATCTACATTTTGCATTATTTATTTGTAATACGCCATTCGATTCACCAAAAAACAAAAATTTTTCCAAACTTCATAATAAGGTTAATGATTGTACATTAAATATTTTTAAATTTACTCTTTTTATATTGAAACAGGAGACGTACTTTCGCAAAATAATTTTGAGTGGATTATTTGCACTGATTTAAAAATATTCTGAAATAAAAATTGTAAATGATCTTTAACGTAATGAATGAAGCAATAAATACCTTTTTTTACAACTCATATTTAGCTGTTTTTTTTTATAAAATATTTCCGACAACCCTTAGAATAAATTTTTATTTTAAATTGGGAATATTTTCTTTTGTAGTATATTCACGCATTGGCAAAACTAATGTTTTCTTGTATTGGATTACCATATATAGGGAAAGACTGTCTTTTGTTGCGGAAAATCTGAATAAAATGTATATACTCGATGTTCTAGTTAAAACTCCCTCGAACAGGAGGGAAATATGAATACATGAATATATCCTGTTTTTACGTATCCTCCTGATACGAAAGATGCTATTAAATAAAAATTTAAACTGCTTTATAGGATTTAAAAGGATTGTTAAAATATTTATTGCAAATTTTTAAATTCGCGGATTGGTTGCTTTTCTTCTTCTTTTTAGATGTCCTTCTTCTATCGGAGGTCGAAAATCATTATAATACTTCTCATAATTGAGTGGTGCTATATTAAAGCACTTCCTTAACTTCCAGGCTACAAATTATTCAAAATACTGCGCTTCCCCTTTTTCTTTTTTATATTGGGTTATGGTATTTTATATAACTGGGTCATTAAAGACTTAAATTAATTTAAAATAAAAAGCACTTGTTTGATTTACATTATACGTTGTAGGCTGACCAATTATAATGTGAAAATTATAGAGAAATTACGCTTTTTAATACAACATATAAAATTCATATTGTAGCCGGAATACTTATTTACAATTTTCCCTTGATTATCTTTTTTTATCATTGTATAATGGCTTTGACATAGACAATTAGCCAGACTATTTGTGGTAGTTACAATTTTTGATTTTATTACCTAAGCCTATTTATAATATAAATTTACAAGAAATAATATGTTCGTATACACAATTAATTTTTGACATATTTACAATTTTTAATTTGAATACCTAAAACTACTTCCAATTTAAATTTACAGGATGTTATGTATTCGTAGATACATTTTAATATCTGCTTATTATTTGAAATAATAATTGTATTCAAATTGACAGGCAATGGACAATTTAGCTCAATTAGTTTTTCATACATCATTTTGATACTTTGTCTGTACTGTTCACACTCCAATATAAGGTACTGCAGATCTCCCTCTTTACCACAGGAGCAATTTGGACTATCATTGATATCAATGCTGTGTTTGTATGCAGGAGTAAGTGCGTGGTTCTTATTCTGTTAATTGTTTTTATAAATAACCTATTTGTTTCATATTTGAACCATCTCTCATTGGGTATTAGTGGTTGGCAAGCTCTAAAGTTTATTCCAGTTGTACTATGGTTGTATAAACGTTGCCATCTTTGTTTGCAGTTGTTTCTACTGATATTATCTATGTCTGCTACTGGAAGAAGTATGTTGCTTATATTATGTTTGGTTAAAGCTGCAGATTAAGCTAATTTGTCGACTTCTTTATTTCCTAATATTCCAGAGTGTCCTTTTACCCAAAAAATAATAATCGAGCTACCTGCGGAAATAATATCACTTCTTTATTTCTATCTCACTATGGTTTAGGTTTTTTGTGGTTTTGATAGAAGTGAATTTGTCCATAATGCTTCTACATTCAGTCAGAATGATATAATTATTCATACCAATAGAGGCTATATATTTTAAAGCAAGAAATAAAGCTGATAGTTCGGCAGTATATATTGAAGCTTCATTGGGCAATCGACATTATTTTTTGTAATCAGAATTCCAGTGATATATTGATATATTGAAATGCAGGCCACTTATCTTTAATTATTTTGTTGATCATACTTCCTGGAAAAATTGAATTCATATAATATGTTTCTATTATCTTAGAGAAGAGAGTCTTAGGAGGTTGTGTATAAATTGGTGATATTTTATTTTGATACAATTGATCTTCAAATATTGTCAACTTCCTGTAACTTTCAACGTATATAGGAGCTTTTTTGTTACGCCAATATTTATGGTTAAGTCTAATATATTCAAGTTACGAATATTTTGAAATAGCTGAAGTTTTTTGATATAGATCTAACTACAAACTTATCTGTACAACACTGTCTGCTTAGTGTAACGGGTGGCTCGTTAGGTTTAATTTCAATAACACTAATAGGAGTAGATTTTAAGTAACCGAGACATAGCCTCAAACATTTATTCTTTTGGGTTTCAATTTTATTAAGATGTCCTGTTGACGCAGACCCATATAAATGACAACTATCGTCGAAAATTGGTCGAATCATTGAGTGATAAAATGGATTTGATCCTTCCATAACAGTTTACGATCCAAATATGTGCCTAGATATTTTACACAATTTTTGATTGGAAATTCTATTTTTCCTAATTTAAAGTTACCTTGAGGAGTTTGGCGTTTTTTGAAAAAAAAAAACAAATTTCAGTCTTTGTAGTTGATATTGATAAGCCTAGAGAATGGTAATAATTTTTTACACAATCTAGTGTACATTCGAGTTGACGCCTACAAATGTCAAGGGTAGTATGGGAGGTATACAACACAACATCATCTGCAAACTGCAATATATTAGAGTGTGGAGGTACTATCTGTTCTAGATCTATATTGTACAATGAAAAAAGAAGTGGACTTAAAATACTACCCTGTGGTATATCTATATTTGTTAGACTTGGCGCTAAAAGTGTCTCATTTATTTTTAAGTAAGTACATCTATTCTTGTACAAGGATACAATGAAATCTGAAATTTTAACTGATATTCCAAGATGTAATAATTTCTTATGTAGAATATATAAATTTATGTTATCAAATGCAGAGGTTACATCTATAAATGGTGCAGCTGTTGATTCTTGATTTGTGAAATTGACCTGAACAGAGGAAACTAGTGAAGTGAGAGCATCCTGTGTAGACCTGGATTTCCGGAAGCCATATTGAGATTTGGGAAGGATATCTTCGGATTCAAGCCGATTTTTGATTAATATCTCTAAAGTTTTTAGTATACAAGAACTTAAAGATATAGGTCTGTAAGACTCAACGTTGTTATCTGGCTTTCCTGGCTTCTTTATAGGCAATACAATATAGTCCTTCCATAATTTGGGAATTAAATTCTCATTTGGCCATATATTGACAAAAATTTGTAATAATAATGATTTGTATTCTGTGGGTAAAAAATATAAAAGAGTATGATATACAGTCCATCCCTGGAAACGAACTATTATTTTGTTTGAGTCCATAATTTAATTCCCACAATTCAAATGGTTTTCTAGATTGGAGTATTCTCTAGAAACGGTGACTGTAGCTTCGATTATTTGACTTGGTACCCAAGAAGGTGAAATTTTTAAGTGGAAATCTTCTATCCATGCAGCTTCGCAGTTTATCGGGAGTTTATTGGACTGTTTTCGGTTTTTGTAGCGATGTACTTTCTTCCAAACGTCGCTAATTGGACTGTGGGAGTTAAGGCTTTCGCAGTAGTTTATCCAACTTTGTTTTTTTCTATTTTTAAAAATTTTCTTTGCTAATGCATCCAATTTTTTGTGTTCAATTAAATTATGAATATTGGAATTTGTTTTATAACGTCTATAGGATGTTTTATGGTTATTTGCAGCTGTTTCGCAGTTTTTATCCCATCATGGTTTTGGAATCTGTTCTATCGGATATATTTTAGTTTTTGATACTTTTGGAATAGCAATGGATGCGCATCTATTTATTTCATTAACTAATTCTTCATAAGTTTGAGGAAGTTTTTCTGAAGAAAAGTTGGATAAATACAAATTCCAATTTGCTTTATTTAGATTGCTTACAAGGGTAGATGGCCAGAACCATGTGGATCTTGAATAGCAGACCAAGTTAATTTAGATATAATGTCCTGGGTGCAAATTGTTATGTCGATTACTGATGGACTGGAACTCAGTGCAAGAGTTGGACAACCATCATTTAATAGATTACATTGTTCTATCGCCTCTAATAGAACTTTACCGTGAGTATCATTAGTTTCGCATCCCCATGCCATATTGTGAGCTTTGAAGTGCCCTCCAATGATGAATGGCGGAGGAATGTGTTGAAAAAAATGGATCCATTCTTCAACTGTTACTCTAATACGTGGTTCCTTGTATATGGATATTATATGTATAGGTTTATTGATACAAGAAAGTTTAACAGCCATGCATGTGTAAGTAAAATTATAGTTTTATAATAAATTTATTTCTTCTGCAATTATTTCATCTTTAATTAAAATTGCTGTACCTCCATAGCCATCTGTGCGATCAGATCTGAAGCAATTATAACCAGCGAAGTTATAGAATTTTTCTGGTTTAAACCATGTTTCTGACAACATGGTCACATACAAATTTTTTTGAATAAGTAAGGCTTCTAAATTTGGTTTATTAGAAACTGCTGAGCGGCCGTTCCATTGTAAAAAATTTATAGGACTAGTTATGTCTGAGAAGATGACGTTTGTCCATGTAAGTCTTCTTGCAAGATCGATGCCGTACTAAAGTATTTATTAATTTGTTGTATAATCTCTGTTTTTGATGCGTCTAAATTTTCAGTGAGTTTTAATGAACTAATTATATTAAGAACCAATTCTAAAAATACATTATTTAAATCTAATGATACTCATTGTGCCTGCAAATTTGTTGTATTTATATTCTCTGTATATTTAGAGGTATAATAAATATCATCTTTTTGTCTAGGGATATTTATTGGAGTAATTATTTCTTTTCTAGGATTCAAAAGGATCGGGATCTATATATCTTATTATACCCTGTCTATGTAGTATAAACTTTGGAATGTAAAAATCAAAATTGTTGTTTGTAAATAATGAGCAAGTTTTTTGATTGATTAAAAAATTGGCTGATTGATAGGCTTTAAATTTAATTCTGATTCTATTTTTGTCGATTGAATCAATACTAGTAATTTTGTTATCCAAATTTGGAAAATTTATCTAATTACCTATATATATATATATATATATATATATATATATATATATATATATATATGTATATATATATATATGTATATATATACATATATATATATATATATATATAGATATATATATATATATATATATATATATCTATATACAACAAAGTTTATTGAGGCTGCAGTCAGAAGTTTGGCCGGGATGTTACAGAAAACACTCTTTTGACTTTTGGTCTAGCTTTCGGAATTGTTTAATTCCTTTATCAAGACACTGCAATTAGAAAAATGTGTAAATATTTACAATATATCATAAGATGTCAGTGTACTTACTAGTCGTTGAGATTATTTGTAAGAAGCTATGACACTCAACATTAATAACAAACATATAAACTATAACTTATACAATAATGGATACAATACATTTAAAATGTATCTGTATGTAATATGAATCCCATTGGGACACCTTTGATTTGACGACAAAAATGATTTTGGAATGAAAAGTATGTATTAGGCACGTAGTGTTTTATAAGAGATAATGTGTTTAGGGGTATTTGATGGTTAAAGTTCAAGATGGAAATAGTTTCATCAATAGTTGGTGAATAAAGAAACAATGTCAAAACTAACTAGTATATCTGAGGGTGAAATAGAAATGTTTCAGAAAATCAATGAAATGGAAAGAATTTTTGACAAAGGACGAGGCGTTTTCGGCTAATGATTGTAAAGATAAGGCAAAATGTTTTGCCAATTTCAGAGTGGGGTAGTTGTATGCACTGACGATGGGTCTTACGGGGACATTGGACTTATGGATTTTTGTCCCTATATTCTTGGAATTCGGGATTATTTTTCTCTGGGTAAAAGATATTTTTTGACGTCTGGCAGAAGAGGTGACTTATTTACAATGGATTTTGTCGTTTTTTCTAGATAGGTGGTGCGATCATTTAGAACGCGTTTGTATCCTGTGAAATTAAGAAATTTGAACACTCTGTCAAAATAATTAGAAGAATTAAGAATGACGGTGGCATTATCTTTGTCAGCCAGAAGGATGTCAATGTTAGAGTTGTTATAATATCTTATATACTAAAACGCTAAGCCCTTTTCTTGTCCACCACTTTACTCAAAAACCATATTAGATAATTAAAATATTTTTTTTCGGAATATTATTATTATTACGTATGAGATTGTCAAGATATACTTTTGGTACAACAATTCATTTCCGGTTTTGAGATGACCGGAAGTTAAAATTTACTTTAAGTTTTAGACCCCACAATGTACTCGTATATATGGATCGAAAGGTCTCGTCGAGACGAATCTAAATATGTACTTCCGGTTGCAATCCGACACCGGAAGTGAGCCGTGCATAAAACTTCAAGATAGAGCAAATCTGACACCGGATTCGTGATCAGCATGCAAAATTAACTGCTAAATGATATCCATGTCGACATTTGATGAACTAAAAATTGCATTCCGGTTTTGAGGTCGAGTTCCGGTTTTTACTTGCATTATTATTGATGAATGTTATGTATATTCTTGCTTGTATTGTTTGTATTGATCTCTTAATTTTTTTCGCAAAATAAAAATTTCATTTAAAAAACTCGATGTCGAGTTGGTCCGCTGGTATAGATATAAATGTCAAATATCAGTCTTTCAGAAAGACGTGTCCTCAAAGAACTTGTTATTGTCCATTATCTGAATATTCTATCGACTGATTTAAAAGAAAGATTTTCTGATTTAAAAAGAAATTGATTTTCTAACATGGTTGATGCAGACAATATTAATAGATTTGTCTGATATATCAAATATACAATATCAAGAAGAACTCGCAAAATTGCAAAATGGTGAGTCAGTTAAAACTTTATTTAGTATAAAAGTAGCGATGGCATGGCTTTGTGAGGAAACAGAAATTAAATACCCAAATTCAACCAAATGTGCAAGAAAACTCTTGCTACTATTTTCATCTTCATGTCTAGCTGAATGTGGATTTACTACTATAAATTATTTTTAAATAAAAAAAAAAGAAATTTTCTCGAGATAACACAACATGGACACTTGAGACTGAAGCTAACCAAATTGGAAGCTAATATAAAACATCTGTGAAGTAAGCATCAAGTGCAAGCATATTACTAAATTAAAATAATAAATTAATACCTGTATAAAAATCTCATTAAAATTATTTGGAATTTAAATTTTAGTTTCCAATTATGTGTTTTTGAAAATTTCCCACTGATTTCTTCCTAAAACCTATCATTTAAGTTTTTTAAGTGAACAATGCAATTTTTTAATACTGAAAATTATGTATGTTACATGGAAATGGTACAATTTACAAAGGTAAAGGTGGGGCATGGTACAAAAAGGTTAGAAAATACTGCTGTAAGGGAAAGTTATTGGTGACGACACTGGTTAACAAAAGTACTAAAAAAGAACATATTTCTGTATAATTATGGTATGTAAGTAGTACATTTCAGATCTGATCTTTATAATATGCAATAATGCAAGCTTCGTAATGTAAAACGCAAAGGAAATTGTTTCTTTGAGGTAGAATAGATATAATTCGGTTACAATTCGGTATCGTGGTTGTTAAATGTTTCGTTCAGGACGACTCATTTCTAAAGTAGGAGAATAATGTTTCTCGGGTAATCGATTACAAGACAGCCAAAGTTCCAGTGACAAATAACTTCGGAGGTGACGTACATTGGGTGGAAATCGGAAGTTCGGACTTTTTGTAGGTTTTATACCTAAAGAACTAAATGGTGTGTGATGTTATTTATACATGACACTTAAATCTCCAGAGAATAGCCATGAAAATATGAACGGTTTTTGTTAGCGTGGGATATTTTGTCAATATAAAAGGGATAAATAATATTTTCGGATTAACTTTACTTTCGTTTTGACTTTTTTTTGTGATTATATGACAATAAATGAAAGAACAGTAAAAAATCACTAACTCATACCTAACTTTTCCTTTTTTCTTCAACGTTTCTTATGATGTTGTAATAATATAATTTCACCTCTTTCTAAGTCAAGCTGTGCTTCTTCTTTTAATTATTGTCTTTAAAATTCTTCCCCTTCATCTGTTTGTCAGTTTTCAGTTGTTCCGTTACTTCTTTCTTAAAATTGTTGCCACTTTATAATTTAATTCCAAGGTATTGAAAATTCATTACTTGTTCTACCATTTGATTTTTAATATCAAGTTTACACCTTAATGGTTGTGATGGATGTAAATAAGTAAATATATGGAACGCATTTAGGTTGGTAATATTGTAAAAGTGACGTGATGGATAGGTGCAAGAAAGAAAAAATAAAACTATTCTGAATCTAAACACGATATATACAAGTTGTTTCATTATAAACTAACTTCCACTCTCCAGAGTTAACCTATCCTATAAGCTTGACCACGTGTCATCACATGGTGCCGAAAATTAAATCTGAAACCAAACCGAATACTTTAAGACTTAAGAAAAGTATAAAAGTGAAATGGAATTCGAGGCAGCAATAAACTCTATATGCGCACAACTGTTACAATTAATAGGGGACGAAGGGTTCAAAATCCATAATATGTTCAAGTTCTCAACAGAAGAAAAATATGAGTTAGAACCGTCAATCACACAATTTGAAACACATTTCAAACCCAAAAGCAATGTATTAAACGCAAGGTATTGCCTGTTTACCAGAAAACAAGATGAAGGTGAGTCAGTAGACAAATTTATAACAGATATTATAAACAAGGCAAAAAATTGTGAGCTAGAGAATCTGGAGGACAGTCTGATTTAGACTTGCATTACATGTCCGGTAGCAGATGAAACTATGAGACCGAGACTGTTAGAAGAAGATGAGATGAATTTGAAAAAAGCAATGAGTCTGTGTAAAAGTATGGAAAGCTCAAAAATCCAGTCTGAAAAAATGAAGTCAGAGGAGGTAAACTACATAAAGAAAGGAAACCTCAGTAAGTCAGTCCCAAGGCAGCCAGTTCAATGGTAAATCTGGAAGCAGTTCAGGTTGCAGTAAATGTGGAATGGAGCACAGAGGCCAACCCTGCAAAGCATATAAAACTAAGTGTAATTTATGTAATAAGATGAGGCATTAAGCAAAAGTGTGTTTTCAAAAACAAATTAAAGATGTAAAGGTGTATGATTCAGAATTAGATGAATTGTTTATAGGTATAGTAAATACTAAAAATGACAGTTTTGACAATGATTTCATGATAAATTTTAAAGCTAACAAGCATAAATTAAGCTGTAGATTGGATACAGGGGCAATAGCAACTGCAATATCAATAAATAAGTTAAATTATCTAAAAGTTAATATTGAACTACATAAAACAAACTACAGGTTAACAAAATTTTCGAATAAAACACTCATAGTCATTAAAAAATATATTTTAGAATGCAAATATAAAGATACAATGTACAACGTAATGTTTTATGCGGTAGAGAATAACTCACCAACGGTATTATGTCTTCCTTCATGTAAAGCTTTGAAGATATTAAAAAGGGTCAATACAATAGAAAAAATTGAAGATAATTTGAATTCTAGAGAAGTTACATTTAAAAATGATTACTCTGATGTGAAAGAAATATTTAAGAGTAAGTTTTTTCAGGTATAGGCTGTTTGGATGAGCCATACAACATTGTGCTAAATGAATCTGCA